GATGGGCCTTTTTGACAGCTTCTTTCTTATCTACTGTCTGGCTGTCTGGGTTGATGAGAGGAAGAACAAGGTCTCTTTCCTTTGCTGGAAGGGAGAAGACGGCTCTCTATAAAGATTAAAGACTCATGTGGAGTCCTCCTCTGCTGATAAGCAAGCCTGGGTTTTTTCTTTTTCCCTTTTCTTTTATGTCAAGAAGTAGACAATTGTGTCTTGTTTCTCTGGCCAAGTGACACAGTCCAGTCCATGGCTTGTGTGTAAATGCATTGAAGTCCCTCCATTTTAACAAAATATAAAAATGGACTTTGTGGGTTGTGATCTTTGAAGGGGGAAGAAGGAGAGAAAGGGGTGATTAACGCTCAGCCAGACACATTTAGGCTGAGATCTACCCCTGTCTTGCTCCCTGCCATCCATGCAGAGGGTGGAATAGATGGCTATTGCAAACACATCGAGAACACCATAGGCTTTCTTGGTGGAAGCTTTCAGGTTCTGGAAATTCATCCTTCCAAGGGAGGTAAAGCTGCTAATCTCCCTCCAAGTGCTGTGGGAAAAGATTTGTGTTTGTTGAGTGCTCCATTTTCCTTAGTGATGGTTCACTGAGTCTTGTCCTAGGAGAAATCTGAGATATCAATGAAATAACTAGATTTCAGTTTTTTTAAAAAAGTTGAAGCTTTAATTCAGGAGTGGGCAACTGTGATCTTCCAGGTGTTTTTGTACTGCAATTTTATGACACCTAGCCAGCATAGGCAGTGGCAAGACATCACAGTACTGGAGCAGTTAAAAAAAAAATCTGGATGACTCCACCCTGTTTATTTTAATTTTGTTCTCATATCTTGTTTTGTGTTCAGTACTGTGAGCCACATTGAATTCTACTTTACAATGAAAGTTAGGCTATACATTCAATAAAGAAATAAAAGAAAAAATCAGGGCAGGGAACAGCTTAGGTGGGGTTACATTGGAGTGGAAAAACCACCAGGCACTTTGAATTTGTTGTTGTGCCCTTCAGGTCAGCATCAGCTTAGAGTGGCTCTATCTTAGGGATTTCTTGGCAGGATTTATTCAAGGAAAGCTTGCCATTGCCCTCCTCTGAGGCTGTGAGACTTGCCCAAGGTCACACAGTGGATTTCCATGGCTGCATGGGGATTCAAACTCTAGCCTCCCAGAGTCCTCTTCCAGGCTGTATGCCAAACCTGTATGCCATGCTGGATCTCCAGGCATCTATACTTTGTGATTAAAAAGGCAAACCACAAAGGACCGGTGGGCTGCCTGTACAAGTATTACCATTACAGTAATATCAGTATGCAAAGAGATTTTGCAGCACCTTTGAGACTTAAGTGTGTGAAAAAAGTTGTAGCATAACCTTCCATAGACTAGGTCTACTTCCTGAAATGTTTGTCCATGAAAGCTTATGCTACAACTTAGTGTCAAAGGTGCTACAAGATTACTTTGCATACTGATATTCCAGACTAACACAGCTAGGTCTCCTCATTACTTCAATACCTAGATAACCCATGATGGGTTGAAGGAATAATGATAGCATCAAATCTGCCTCTTCTTGAAATTGCTCCAGAAAAAAAGTTGGTTATTTTTGATTTTGATTTTTTTCATTATAAAGTGTAGTTGAAGGAAAGTAAACCTAAAATATAAGGAAGGAATGCAAATCAACCTGTCAATAGCAATGTGAAAAACAGCAGGTAGCCTTGCCCAAAGGGAACAAAGAGCTTGTGAGTGTCAGAGTGTATGTGCCATAATGATTAAGGCCACCCTTTCCTTCCCCCAAGGACCTTGAAAATGTACATTGGTGGCCTTATCTTTACAGCTGTCACTCACTATCAAAGGAGCCTTGAGAAACAGCAGGCTTTCCAGATATTTCACACAGATTCCTTATTGGTACTGTCTGGAGTCATTATGGATCTTTCTTCTTTGTTTTAAACAGATCAGTCTGTACTTTTGGAACACCTTTTTAAGCCAAAAAGCATAACTGAGTATTTCCTAATGCTGTTTAACTCCTGTAAATATTACGCACTTGTGCCAAAGTCGAATTTCTCCCTTCGTCTGGAAAAACACAAGGCCCAAGATAGCAAGGTTAAATTGGACAGCACACAACACAGCATACCATAAATTAGTACAGATATGCCTGGATTAAACATCAGCCACAAAAGGAGATATTAACAGCTGATAAACTAATGCTGTTACAAAATTTTAAAAATTCCTTGTGTAGATTTATGTATTTTATGTATTTGTACATGGTGTGTTTGTGCTAAACCTATACAAATACAGGATAAATATAAATATAAAGTAGGTACATGAATTGGTACAAGTTACTGAGAGCCAGGATTTTGGTTTTATAAATTTGAGCAAAAGTGGGTTTTCAGCAAGAAAATGTAGCTCAGAATAATATAGGTGAAATCACATTTAGGATAGACACATTATGGAAAGCAACCGGAAAAGCAGTAATTTAAATTGTATGTTTAAAGGCTGTCACTGAAGGAGCTGTCTATAATTCATCTGGAAATGCAATACTAACTTAGCAATAACAATAATAATCTAGCAGGTTTCCTAAGGCAGGGCTGGAAGTAGCCCATCTGATGTTGTTAGATGACAATAGTCATCAGTCCTAGCCAGCTTATACAATGGGGAGGGATCATGGGAGCTGCAATCCAAAAATATCTGGAGGATCACACATCTTCCAATGTGGACAAAGTGCTCATATGCAATCTCAACAACTTTTATGACAGGTGGGTTAGTTTCATTACCACACTCTTGCCCAAAGATTGCTGAAGCTGAGGACCAGTGGCTTGCTGAGGGACATTTTGCTTTGCCCAACCTCCCAATGCTTTCCTCCCAATGTTTATTATTAAAAAGAAACTGCCAAGTTTTTAAATAAATAGGAAATTAGGCACAAACCAATCTTGGTCAAACCATGGTTTCTCCCCAACCTTAAACAACATGGGGATGTTTTCTACCTGGCATACCTATGACCCTAAACACTAAAACCAATGGAGCTGGCTTAGGCAGGATTTCAATATGGTGATTTGTGTGCTTTGCATTGCGGTTTCCTTCTATGCATTAAAGTAAACATTGAAGTCTAAAGTAGCTCATACTGAGACAGTCATTCACTCACCTTTTTGTTATTCCTATAGGCTGAATCAATGTTGGCTACAAATCAGTCTGGAATGTTACAACTGAAAACTGAATTCCTTACTGACATAAGAAGATAAACAGAACAGAACAGTTCCACAAGGAGACGGTACCATGCGTTCCTCTCCATCTACCCCTCTTTAAGACATGCTGGGAGTATCTCTTCTCACCTCCCACCACCCCATGACTACAAGCAGTGAAATGTTTTGCAAAGCCTATAGAATCATCTTTAAAAAATTTCTTTATAAGTCAGACATAATTCATTGAGGCTGAGTCAGATTCTTGCATACCGTAATTGAAAATAAATTAAATTAACCCTTCTCCCAAAAGAAAAAGGAAATTTAATAGTATACTCCCTACTTTGCATCACATTTTGAACAACAGAAATTGGAATCAGAATTATAGCATTGGAAGATGACATAGATATCGGATCATCTAGATACCATGCATAAGCAGTAATGGGGGTGACACTGAAGGAGGGTCTCTCAGGCTGCATCTGTACTGCAGAATTAATACAGTTTGACACTGTTTTAATTGCCATGGCTCAATGCTACGGAATTCTGGGATTTGTAATTTTGTGAGATATTTATTCTTTGCCAGAGAGCTTTGGTGTCATGATAAATGCCTTGGCAGTTAAGGTGGTATCAAATTGCATTATTTCTGCAGTGCAGATGGGGCCTCAGAGACAAGGGCAGTGGCACCATAGTTAATGCTTGTTAGTACTGCGCAGAAAGAGGCACCAGTAAATCACTTCTGAATGTCTTTTACCATGAAAACCCTATCATGAGACAATCCAAAGCAAGGATCTATAACTGAACTATCCCTAAATAAACGATCTCTTGGCTAAGTGCATTTATTAAATGAAGGAAGAAAAACACTTAAAAACCACTGCTAAAACATTTCCAGCGAAGGGGAGTGCACTACTTTCCAAGGTAGTCAATTCCTCTGTCAAGCCATTCTTACCATGAAGAAGTTCTTTCTAATGTTTAGTTGGCACCTCCTTTCTCATCATGAGCATCGAGGTTGAGGTCCTACCCTCTGGAACAGCAAAAACCAAGCTTGTTCCATTTTTCACGTGGCGGCCCTTCAGATCAGAGGTAGCTCTCCACATACTGTTTTTGAACTGCAAGTCTCAGCATCCCCTTACTAGGCAAGGAATGCTGGAGGTTGTAGTTCAACACTATCAGGAATTCCCACCCTTGTTCTAAACATTTTAAGATCATACCACTTCTCAGCCTTTCCATCTCCAGGATAAACAGTCCCAGCTCTCTAAGCTATTCTTCATAGGGATTGGTTTCCAGACCTTTTCCCATTTTGGCTGCTCTCCTCTGGATACATTCTTACTTGTAATATATTTCTTAAACTGTGGTGCCCAGAACTGAACACAACTAAGATGTATGGCATAGAAGAAAACTGTCACTGCAGGTAAAGTGAAAGCTGGAAAGCAGCACAACTTTGAATGCTTGAAAATTAAGAATTTGTCAATTAAGAATTGATTAAACAGGATATGGACTATAGCCCTATCAGAGAAGTTAACCTATAAATTAAGTCTAGCAAAGGATATAAAAGATTTTTTTTTGATATCACATGGAAGCCATTTGTTACTTTTATGTATCAAAGTAATGGTGAATTTAAACCACTGAATGACCAAATAAAATTTTGGATCAATAATTAGATGAATAAAATATAACGAAATAGAATGGAAATTGCAAATGCACAAGTTTTAACAGAGTGGTATTTCTATTATGTACTATGAATTAGGGGAGGTATGGGAAGGGGGTGGGTTGTAACACATTATTGCAATACTGAGATTGTACTATAGCTAAATATCAATAAAATTTGCATTTTTTTAAAAAAAGGAAGTCAGTAGTGGTGTAGTGGTTTGAATGCTGGACTACAACTTTGGAGACCAGGGTTTGACTCCCAGCTTGGCCACAAAACCCAGTGGGTGACTCTCTGTTTCAGGGGAAGGCAATGGAAAACTTCCTCTGAACTAATCTTGCCAAGAAAACCCCATGATAGGTTCACCATAGGGTCACCATAAGTCAGAAATGATTTGAAGGCACACAACAACAACAAAAGTGTTAATATTATTTGTCTTTGCTTTGTTGTTTAGATGGGTCTGTAGTTTTGTTGTTTGTATGTTGTTTTAGGTACATGTACAAAAAGTGTAACTGGTGGAGTTTAAGTTTAATAAAAAAGATTTTAATAAGTGATTTCTGTAGACTTTTGCAAGGAATCAAAGAATTCAAAATTAATTCTTACATCACAATGAAAAGACTGCATTAACAAGAGTATGTATTTACATGATGTGAGCTGGAGCAAAGGCTAGCTCCAATGGAACAGAAGGCCCTGGTAGAAAGATTTCTTGTGCCCCTCTTGCAATTCCTGCCCCTCCAAACCTCCCCTAAATCTGCTTTCAAGGGTTGGGGGTTCCTCTGGGGTAGATCTAAAAAGCACTCAGGGGAAAGTCAATTCATAAAAAGATGGATACAACTCCTTAACATTAAAAATACACTGGACCCCACCTAGGTGGTTTTCTCGGGTTCTTTCACTCTACACAGCTTAGGGAGGAGACTTTATCATCCTCAGCCAGAGAGTTCCTATGGTGCCTTTGACCAAACTACAACTCCTCCAGGATTCCATAGGATACAGCTGTGGTAGTTAAAGTGGAATCATAGTGCTATAATTCTGTAGTGTAAATGTGCCCCATACATGGCATTATGTAAAAAATGTGATCTCCATTGAGAGTTGCTTATAGGAAAAGGAAGCCAGTAGCTCCCAAGGATATGCTCAGTGTTTGTGGCATTATAGTTTCAAGTGGCTTTCACAGGCTGACTGTATCATGTAAATAAAAATTACACAGAAACAAAAATAGTGTCCTTCACAGAGACACCATCAATAGTTTGTTGTAGGCTCTAGGAACTTTAACTTGGAATAACCCCTGAGGTAAGTAAGATGATGATGATGATGATGATGGATGATTCAGTGAGTTGCCTCAGTCATTAAAATACCCTTAAAAAACCCTTGTTCAAAATAGAGGCACATCAAGGAGAATGCTATATTGTTCTGTAGGCCTCATCAGCTCTGGCAATCCAACAGACTTCTCCTCACTCTCTTCCTCCAGTTAATTTATGGAACAAGTCTTCATCCAGTGCTTCATTCTGGTCTTTGGAACGGGTTGACAGGAAAATGTAGCCTCCAATGTATTCATGGACCACTTTGCAATCTGCACTCAGGCAAGCGAAAGCGATGGATACATTCTGATCAAATTCAATTGCAACCTGAAGGGGAAATGCAGATAGCTATGTGTATATATGAAAAAGGAGAGTTAAGCAGGCTCTTCCCCTGCTCCTTCTTCACTCCAGCTGGTAGTCTCCCAGAAATATTTTGCATCTTCTTTTTTTAAAAATAATTCAGTTATGATTTTAGCAGATCACTAAATAAATATCCTTGATAACTTTTACCGAGATGCGGTGTACAAATGTTATAAAAAGACAAAGAAAAGTAAACACTGGGGGTTAGGGTTAAGGCTAGGGTTTCAGCAGATCACTAAATAAATATCCTTGATAACTTTTACGAGATGTGGTGTACAAATGTTATAAAAAACAAAGAAAAGTAAACACTGGGGGCTTATTCACATAGGATTCTTCTTTTTCTAATGTCTAATTTGTCCCTGACTGGAAACTAAATGTAGGTAGATTTGGGCTATGTGCACTTATTCAATGAAGGGAGAAAAGCACTTAAAAACCACACGCTGAGTCACATAGCACTGTTTCATGTAATAGTGAGGCCATTAATTCATGCTTTATTAGAGACATCTGATATTTTCTATGCCTGCATAGTGATGAATTCACTTGGGGTTTCAGTCCAAAGTTTAACTGAGCTAACCAAGAGTCCAAACTCTAGTCTCCAAAATAGGTTCAGCACCTTAGATGGTGATTTTAAAGTTGGGATTAAAACCTGGATTGTATTTGCCACACACACACCAACATGGGAATTGCAGATACCACTGTGCTGCACCATGGTTGGAAAACATGGAAGCAATCACAAGGCAGCTGGGCCTTTGCATGACATTAGCCTACTGCCAAGATTCTGCTGTATCCAGAAGGGATGGAAAGGAAGCAGAATTAAGGCACAAGATCAAATAGGTGCTCAGACTGCAAGCTTCCCATCCATACTAGCAATACAGATGGGATAACGATGTTTGTTGTTGTGCCGGATCACAGACAGGAGGCTCCAGGGACCACTGGCATCTGGGCCAACTCAGTGTGTTCCTTCATTGAAGTTGTTTTGCAGTTTTCTTAGAAAAATCTAGTCCCAGCAGATTTATACGATATAGGAGGCTCATGATTCAGATATTGTATCTTGCTTCTAACAAAGATCAGCCAAGTGCTCCCACTAGTTTGTGAAGCATTACAGTATGAAGAGCAGTTCTGTCAGATTAGACCAACAGTCCATCT